ACCAGTAATGAATATGATGACCCTTGGGATTATGCATCTTCTCATTTGGAGAAAGGATGAGACAATCTTTACTTGCAAGAAAGATTTCTGTATCTTGAAGTGGGTAGAAATATAGAATTGTTTTATTGTTGTATGCATTTTATAATAAATGTGTGCAGAGTTTGCATATAGGAGCTGAGTAATCCAAGAAGTGAATTGATTTACTGACTCTCAGTTCCAAATTCACCCTTTGCCTGTTTTGTGAAGATGAACCTGGACTTTTCAACTATTTCTTTTGTCAGTTGGCACAATGTTGAGCTTTGTCACAAGAGGATATAGGAAGAAATGGTTTGCTTTAGGTTCAGCTGCACTAGTTCCTTGCTTAGATAAAACTACCACAGCCGCTGTAATGAACTTGGATGCTTTTTGACCTCTGCTTCTTGTCACATGTCTCTGCAAAGAACTCAGCCAGTTGCAGGGAGGACCTGAGCAGTTGATGATGATCTGAAACATTAACAAGATCTCTTGTTTGTGCTGCATCGCCCTCTGGAGGCCAGGTGCAGAACCAGAGTTTAGCACAGATATCTCATTAGTGTGTTCCTCCTACTTTGTGAGATGTATCACAACTTCCACACAACATGTTCTTTGCATCCCAAATCTATGATGGTGTATTAGTTCTAAAGCTCATTAGATATAGTAAGTCACATAAAAATAGATTAAGAAGTTACTTCACTAAGAAACCAGTTTTTAAAAAGTTTACCAGAATTCAGATGTGAGTCCATGAGAGTCCAGAATCAGACCAATTGCCTCAGGGTGACGTTGGCTGGTCCAGTGCTGCCATGGTGGTGATAGAGGATAATGGAAATATTTCCTTTGGGTGATGCCTGCACACCCATAACAGTAAAAGTTGGCCCCTAAAATGAGAAAATTGCCTGTATGTGACGAATGACAAGATGTAACTCTGGATGGGAAGGCTTTGACTATAGGGCTCAAGGAAATGCAACTACAGAAACCCCTGGGACTAGAGGAAATACAACCACACCAGGTGAGAAAGCTCTGAAAACATTAAGAATGAAGAAACTCATTGCTTTCTATGTGCCCAATGCAACACTTTTACTAAGTCAGAATATTCTTTTCTTGGATTCCAGGAGTAGAAGCCCAATCCTCTCCTTAAGTTCTTCCTTCACTTGTTCCTGCCTGGAGAGAGAGTCTTTCACAAAGAAGACTTGCTTAGTAATGCTGTTATTTTATAAATGTTGTAGCCTAGAAGTAGATTTATGATTCCTTAGGCCATATACTCACTTCTCATCTGTTCCAAATTTCTTCCTGACTCAAATAATAGAAATATAAATGAAAATAAACAAAAATCCACCAGAGTAAAAAGAATGAGGATCATCTGGACAAGACAGATTTATACATATTTCCAGAAGACAGAAAGTGAATGGGATCAAATGGAAGATTAAAGTTAGGACACAAAAAACTAGTCAAAAATAAGCTATGAGGAGCATTTCCTGCTGGTTTTCAGGTTGGTGGTCATTTTAACTCCTCTCAAAGTTGCTGGGCATTGGCAAAGCCCAGTGTGTTCAAAGTCAAAAGCCACAGGGTTGTCTGATGCCTTGGAGCAGTGCTTTTTCCTCTGCCCTGGAAGAATGCAAAGGAATTCTCCAATCCTCTATGATAGAAGTTAAAAAAGAATAAGTTAAAAAAGAATAGATCATAGTTAAAAAAGAATAAGATCAGAAATATAATATTCTCATTTAGGGACATTAACAGCATTCTAAGAAATACATTGATTGCTAGGAAGATTAAAGAGTCTCTACATATGGCCAAAATTACTAAAATACACAGTCCATTAAAAACAAGGAAAAATTCATAAATTTAAAAAATAGAGAAAGAAAATTGAAAACAAAAAAAATTAAAAAAAAGAAAATAGAGCAACTTTCTTTTAGGTATTGAAAAAACATAGTCTGTGAGTAGTTGCAGCATGCCTTCTCATGCTCTTGGGTCTGGATATCATGGAGAATTCAAAAATTTTTAGATTTTAGAAAAAAAAATCTAGTAGTTGAAGCATGCATAAAAACAAGTGAGCATTCTTATTTTCCAGCACCAGAGGAAGACCTTTATGAGTCTGGAGAATGACAGGGGAAAGGTCCAAAAAATCAAGACCTTAACTAGAAGATTCTTATAATATTGATAAGGAAAAAATTGCAGACATAAAAAACAGATAAGATTTATCTAAAGAGGGCAACAAAAATAATAGTGGAAAAAGAAAATGACAAATAGCCTTGCTTGATGAATGTTGCAGAGAACCAGAAGTTATTGCAGGAGCTTAGTATAATAGAATAGGATGTAGCTTTAAGACACCTACAGCTCCTCTCTCTCATTGATTACAAGTAAAACTGAGCAAACTACAAAAAAAATAACTACCTGTATACTATAAAATTAGACAAAAGCAAGAAGATCGTGTAAGGGAATCAAAAGTTAGAGGAACAACTTGCACAAGGGTGAATTTCATGTCTTTTCTTTTTTTCCTCTTTTGGCTTTGCCCTGAGGCAGGCCGCTGATGCAGAGTAGTATGACAACAGCATAGGAGACAAGAACTCTGAAAGAAACATAAGTTTTCTGGCTCTGTAGACTAGGACGGAAAAGGGAGACCCCAGGGAAAGAAATGGAAAACACCTTAAGTCTTGGGCTAATCTCAAAGCTCCACATACATGAAGCCAATCCAAACCAGAATAACAAAGCTTAGGTTAGTGAACTGAGATTTCAACCACTGTCCAAATTCCAGGCTACCACCTGGGTGGCACCCATGTAGGACAGACTCAAACCAATGTAGCACAGAGTTCAGGAACTGACCTGAGTCTGAACCACCCAAACAAGTTTCATACCACTCCCTCAGCTATAAGTGCTTCAGGGAGACTCAAACCAACACAGCGAATGATTAGAGAACTGAACTGAGATTTTGAATCACCAATTCCACTCTCCCAAAGGGGAGACAAAAAGAAGAAAACAGAGTCTACATACATAATATTTAAAATGTTTAAGATGCATTCCAAAATTATTTGGCATACAAAGGACCAGGAAAAATGAATTAATATTTAAGTAAAAGACCAACAGACACAAATGGCAAAATGACTAAGATGCTAGAATAGAAAAAGATATCAACATAACTCTTTTGAAAATGTTCCAGGAAGTAAAAGGAAACATACTTGAAATGAATGATAAAATAAGAATTTGCTGCACACAAACAGAAGTTACAAAAAAAAAAAAAACAACCAAATACAAATAGAAATTTTACAACTGAAAAATACTAGATTGGAAATAAACACTTCACGGTAATGGCTCAATAGCAAAATGAAGATGACAAAGAAAAGAGCAAGCCAACTTGAAAATAGATTAGTATATATTACCTAACCCAACAAATTTTGACTTCGCCACCTCCTAAGAGACATTTGGCAAGTCTGCACAAAAATTTTGGTTGTCACAACTTGAGGTGTGTAGTACTACAGACATCTAGTGAATAGAGGCCAGGGGTACTGCTCAAAATTCTACAATACACAACAGCTGCAACCCCAGTAAAAAATTATTTGGCTCAAAATGTCCATGTGCCAAGATCAAAAAACCTTGATCAAACTTTAAAATCAAGAAAAAAAAATTGAAGGAAAATGTAGATAGAGCCATGGAGACCTCTGGGACAATATCTAAAAACTCTAAACTATTAATATATCTCTTTGGAGTCCTAGAAAAAGGGGAGAAAGAGGCTGAGTCAGAAAACATATTTGAAAAAAGAATGGCCAAAATACTTGCCAAGTTCAATGAAAGACATAAATTTGTAAACTCAAGAAGTTCAGCAAACCCCAAACAAGATAAAATCAAAGAGAACAACACCTAAACACATCACAATTAAACTGCTGACATCAAAAGATTATATGATTTTGTGTGTGTGTGTGTGTGTGTGTGTGTGTGTGTGTAAAAACAGCACATCTATGAAGCAGTTAGAAAAAAACAACATGTTACATCATTGGGGAACAATTATTTAAATGACCTTGGCTTCCTCATCAGAAAACATCAAGACCAAAAGATAACGAAATAGCATCTTTAAAGTGAGGGGCAAAAAGTGCTGACACAAAATTACAAACCCAGCAAAAATATCATCCAGAAATAAAGGGGAAGTTAAGAATAAAGACATTTTCAGATATCAAATAACTAAAAAATATACTTTCCAGCAAACCTACTCAAAAGAAATGCTACAGGGTGTTTTTCAAATTTGAAGGGAGCTGCATCATTTCAGACACATCCCTGGTACCAGAGGAAAACTTGAACATTCAGTAACAAAGGAATGATGCCAGAGATGGTAAATAGCCATTAAATGTAAAATACTTCTTATTCTCCCTATTAAATTTTAAAAGTTCATCCAATTGTTTAAAGGAAAATTTATAACATTTAGCAAGATTTTTAATGCATGTAGCTGTAATATATATGAACAGCTATAACAAACTTCAGTGTTGGTAGAGACATATCGTGCAATACTTCTGCATTTTACATCAAGTGGTACAATATTTACTCACAGTAGAATACACTCTGATAGTTAGGCATGTATGTTGTAATTTCCAGAGAAACCATTCAAAAACTACAGAGATATAGCCAAAAAGCCCACAGATAAATTAAAAGGTAATATTAAAAAATATTCAAATAATCCAAAAGTCAGAAAAAAGAGAAGGAAGAAGAAAAAAAAAATAAAGATGGGTGGCACAGAGAAATAATAATAAAATAATATACTTAACTCCAACCTGATAAATATTTATATTCAATTTTAATTGTCTAAACCTGCCAATGTAAAAACAGAGATTGACAGAGTATTTAAAAAGGCAATACTTTATTTTATGCTACCTATAAGAAACACACGTAAATTTAAAGTCACATGTACACTAAAAATAAATAGATGAAAAAGATATGGCACACATCAGCAAACATCAGAAAGTTGAAGTGATTTTTTAATATTATAAAATAGACTTCAGCACTGAGTCCTTGAGTCACAGGAAGTCCTAGTGTCTCGGCAGGTTTGTGTTCAGCTCCCCCTGCAGCCCCAGGCACTGTGTCCCGCACAGCACAGAAGTACTGGGCTGAGTCGCTCAAATGGGCTGAGTGTTTCTTCAGGTGAAAGGAGGTTTCATTCTTCCTGAATTCAGCCTCGAAACCTTGGATGCCTTTAACCAGGGTGCTCCCTGATATGTACTTCAGGAGAAGCTGGAGTCCTTGGTTGGGGTATTGCACATACCACCAGACGGTTGGTGTAAAAGAAGCTGTGTAGCTGCATTTCAGCTCCAGAGAGGCTCCTTCAGTGACAGTGACGTGAAGGTCAGGCTGAGTCACCGTCTGGGCCCTGGTCCCTCCTGCAACAGCAATGCTATGTAAGTAAAAGCAGCACAGACTTCGCTATGAAGAAAACACACCTGTATTCAGATCCAATTAGAACCCAGTCGCTTTCATGAAAGGAGAGAAGCAAATGGAACGTTACTCACCAAGGGCAAAAATCCCCTCAAGCACCAGGAAGAGCAGCAGGGGCATGGCTGAGCAGTGGCAACGCTGCAGGACCCGGGCAGGTGGGGCGGTGGCCAAGGTCTCTGAGCCTCAGGAGCCAGGAGGAATGGGGAAGCCGGGCTGGACAAGTCTCTTGCTTTGACAAGTTTCAAAAATGGCTAAAAAGAGGTTTTTCCTTAAGGGGTCTGCATGCTTTCTGGCTTCTTGTTCTCATCACACGTCCCTGCCTACACAGACATCAGGGAGGTACACCGGCCAGCTGCAAGGAGGAGGGGCTCAGAGGGATGATGATGATGATGATCTGGGGTAGAAACAGGTGCTGTCTTTGTGTAACATCGCCCTCTGGAGACCAGAGGCGGCACCAAGGATCCAAGACAGTGAACTGCTTCCTCCTCATTGTGGAGATGTGATATCAAAATTCCAGGGTTAATGTAGAAATAACATTCTTATGATGACATAGTTTCAAAGAAACACTTTCTTAATTACTGTGTGGTGTAAAAATGTTGCTAAATGTGTTGTTACATCATGCCACTGCGGAAAGTTATTTGCACTATAACAAAGAAATGTTACACCAAAAAAAAAAAAACACCAACAGAAAGGGTTTCTTCCTTCCTGAATCTGTGATGCCATCACCTTCTGTAATACATGCTATCAATCCTAAAATACATGGAAAATGGGAGTTATGTGCAAATGGAAGAGTAAGGTACTTCACTGAGAAATTAGTCACCAAAGCCAATATTCTTAACTTTGGAATACCATTGAGACATTCCATTTGTTGTTGTTGTTGTTGTTGTTAAAGCCATTCATTGGAGAGAGTGGAGAATATCCATTCCCTAAGACTGAGCTGAGCTGTACATGGTCCTGTACTGCTGGATGTGAGCATCAAAGTGAGTGAAAGAGATTATACTTTTATTTGGTGCTAAAGGAAAAAAAAAATTAGACAAGAGACTTATACTTTAAAACAGCCTGGATTACATAACATTAATTAATTAATCAATGCAAACTAATAAAGGCAATAATTTGTTAAGCAGAAACTGTTTAAAAGACTGCTTGATTTCATGTCAACAAGTTTGATATTTGTAAAGGCTGTGTTTAAAAAGAGGAAAAGAGAGTCTTATCTCAGTTGTCAATACTCAGAATACTGATATCTTATGCCAAGTGATGGAATCTGACAGTAAAAAAAAAAAAAATTAACAGAGGCCCCTCTACAGAGAAATTTGGGCATACTGCTACTGATAAGAAAATATAACATATAAATAAGTGATTCTCAAAAGAATTTAGGTGAGAAAAAGGAAAGTAAGCCTGTACAAACTCAATAAAGTTGGAAGGAGTGCACCTAGTGGACCAGAAATGAGAGGAACTTCTGGGAAGTATAGAGGACATGAGAGAGATTGACATTGACCCCAACAGAGCTAAACTAGCAGCAGTCCTGTGTAGGTGGAGACAGGGTGTATCCAACAAGGGCATTCGCCTCTGTGGCCTAATAATAAGATGAAACTCTTGAGCAAGATGTCTTCACCAGACAATACATTTTCGCATGGAGATTATTGGAACCTAGAAATGAGGTGACTGAATAAGGAAAGAAATCTCAGAAAAAGGAGAATCTGCCCAACAGGGATTCTCTTCTCAAAGCCAAAACAAACTCATTCCTTTCTCTGTATTCTGTTGATTTGTACCAGCCTGAAGTCAATTCTCTCTTGGACTTCTAATCTATTTCTTGATTCTGCTCATGGATTTTTTTTCACACTTATGACCAAGTATTACAGTCAGTTTGAAATTTTAAATTTTACTAGAGTGTGCTTTTGATTCAAAATTTCTAACTAACGCAAATAATTCAGCAAGAAAAAAAAACAAAGAGCCCCATTATAAACTGGGCAAAAGACACGAACAGGCATTTTCAAAAGAAGATAGACAAATGGCCAACAAGCATATGAAAACATGCTCAACATCACTAATCATTCAGGAAGCAAATTAAAACCATAGTGAGATGCCATCTTACTCCAATTGGAATGGTCATTATTAAAAAGTCAATAAAAGTAGATGTTGGCACAGATAGGGGTAAGAGGGGAACACACTGTTAATAGGAGTGCAAATTAGTACAACCTCTAGGAAATCAGTATGGAGATTTCTCAAAAAACTAAAAGTAGATCTACTATTTGATCCAGCAACCCCACTACTGGGTATCTGCCCAAAGGAAAAGAAATTATGGTATCAAAAAGATACCTGCACTCGTATGTTTATCATAGCACAATTCACAATCAGAAAGACATGGAATCAACCTAAATGATTAGCAGATAAAGAAAATGTTCTATACATACCATGGAGTACTACTCAACAATAAAAAAGAATGAAATAATGTCTTTTGCTGCAAATTGGATAGAGCTGGAGGCCATTATCCTATGTAAAGTGATTTAGGAATACAAAAATAAATACTTCATCTTCTCACTTATAAAGGGGAGAGAAATTATGGCTACACAATGGCACACAGAGTGGTATAATGGACATTGGAAATCATAAAACTAATACCATCAAGACATGTTGTGAAATAAAACTACAGTGAGCATCAAGATGTATATGTTAAATATGTACACCTTTTTGTATATCCGTCGTCATAACTCAAAAAGTGAGGCAGAAGAAAACTTTTATTTTTTTTAATAAACATTGTAAAAAACATTGTAAAAAACATTGTAAAAACATTGTCATCATTTTTTCTCTCTTTTTTTTTATTTCGGTATATTACACAGGTATAAATGTTTAGGTTACATATATTTATTGCCTTTGCCCCACCCAAGTTGGAGCTTCAAGTATGTCCATCCCTCAGATGGTGCACGCTGCACCCATAAGGTGTGAATATACCCATCCCCTCCTCCCCCCTCCCGGCTGCCCAACACTCAGTGAATGTTACTGCTGTATGTGCACATAAGTGTTGATCAATTAATACCAATTTGATGGTGAGTACATGAGGGAAGAAAACTTTTAGAGGTAATGGATATGTTTATGGTGTGTAGATTATGATGATGGTTTCACAAGTTTAGATTTATCTGCAAACACATCAAGTTGTGTGCACATTTTATATGTCAGTCATAGATCTCAACAATAACTTTAAATAATAACTTTTAAAAACTAGAGTGAAAAGATAAGTTTGGAAAATATTTTGTCCAAAGCAATGTTGTGTCTTTCATTTCCCTTCATGATCAATTATTTTCAGATTTGTGAAAACACTTCAAGAATCGATCGAACCTACCATACTACTCTTAATTTCCATTTGCATCTAGAGAGCAAACAGAACTTCTCCACCCTGCAGTCTAAGCTCTGTCCATATCAGGAGTTCATGAGGCCCTGGCAGGTTTGGGTGCAGGCTGCAGGTGCCTGGGGAGCACTGTGTACTGACTGCGCAGAGGTAGGTGGCTGAGTCACTGGGCTGAGAGTCTCTGATGAGCAGGGACACATTTCGGCTGGCTTTATTGAGCTGTGCTGTAAACCTTCCTTCTTCTTTGTCACCAGTAGAGTATATGAACATCAGCAATTCAAGGCCTTTGCCAGAATACTGTCTGTACCACAAGAAGGACTGAGAAGCAGTGTCACTATAAGTGCAGCTGAGAGACGCAGTGGTTCCTTCAGAAACAACGAGGGATTCAGGAGTCTGCTCCACCACCTGCTGGCTCCTCACCCCTGTGCAAAAGACAATTGTCAGACAAAGAAGGTGGGTTGGGTAGTGGATGCTTCCTCCCCAGACCTCCTATGCACTACCAACCCTTAGCCAGAAAGAAAACACAATTTATCTTTTTATCCACAAGCCTAGGATAAATAACTCCGAATATATACAAATGTTATATTACCATCACCTCTGATAGAGATGACCAAAACTCACAGCTTAACTGAAGCCACAGAATCACTAGTAAATCTTTCAAGGAGTTCATCTCTGCAGTTCACTAAGGATTCAAATTTTAAACCTTAAAAGAAATGAGCCTAGCTTAGGCATTTCTGCTTTAAGAATCATAAAAAGATATTGTTCTACCAATTAGAAAAAAAGAGGTTCTTTTCACCACCCCTGTTATACCACTAAGCCACTCCCCTGATCTCTCTCTCTCTCTCTCTCTCTCTCTCTCTCTCTCTCTCTCTCTCTCTCTCACACACACACACACACACACACACACACACACGCACGTACTTTGGAGATTGAGAGACTTCCTCAAGGGAAGACACTGCCACCTTGTGGAATCATGATAGTGATCAAAGATGTATTCAAAATGTAGACTCTTATTATGTGAACTGGTGAAAGTAAAAATCTGACGGTTTAGTTAATTTAAAAATCTGAGAAGCAAATGCTCTAAGTCAATGTGCTTGGGGGATGTGTATATGTGTTCTACATAAAATGGCAACTCTCATATAAGCAAGAGCAGTTATTTCAAATAGCCACTTTCCTACACTGAAAGATCAGTCATGAAGTATTCCATTATAATAATTTTGGGTGAGGTTCCTGCAATTCAAGGAGCATTTCATATTGCATAATTCTTCTCTATAATAGGCCAGACATGCTGTATACCACTCCATTATCTCCAATTCTTAAAGAAATCTTTTGTAACTCAAAAGAATCCTTTAAAAACAGTGGCCTAAAATCTGAACAAACAGCCTGGGCAACATTTTTAACAAGTTAAGGAATGAGAGAAGCTTGGAATTCATCCTTTCATTTTGCACCAGTGACACATCTGTGTCAAAACAGTTCTTTTTTGAGTTGGTGCAATAGAGACAGACCTGCCTTCATTACTTAGACTATCAATAAAACCCAATATACCTGTTGATTTGTCTAATTTCTATTATTGCCTTTCTTGTACAAAGCTGATATCTAAGAATTAATCTCCAAAAGTTGTGGATCTTGTCTCTCTCTGCATTTCCATCCTCACCTAACCAGCAAACCAGATCTAGTAGAGAGCTATCTATGCAAGAAGCTTAACTGAGTCTACAGAGAAACAAGCACAGACAGCTACTGCTCCTCCTTCCTCTGTTCTACAACCTGGTTCATCTCTTGAAGAAGCTGGTGGCTGGAAGCCAGCAATGGCGCAGGCCCTCTCTACTCAAGAGGCATGTAACCAGTACCCACCAAAGATGGCCTGGGCAGGTATTTCCCATTCCCACCAACAACTACATAGGAAATGGAATGAGGGGAAAGATCCTCATATTGAAATCCTTTTCTCCAAGAGTATATTACACTTGACAGAAATCACAGCCATTTCCCAGGAAATGTAAAGACCAAAGGAGGAGTGACAGCAACACAGATGGCATACAACCACAGTCTCGGAAAATTTATGAAAACCAAATATAACATCTTCAAAATTGAATGTGAATATGAAACACAGTCTTTATAAGAAGCACCCCTTTTGCAAGATTTGTAACCAAAATAGTATGAACTCGTCAATTGACCTAATGTTGTGGTGGATCCAAGAGCCATATCAGTGGTATCAAAATGCTGGAATTCATACAGTATCAAAGTTGTTCTGCAAAAGCTTTGTGCCAAATGATAGATATCTAAAGGAAATATGAAGCTCCTGCATTTGCCTCAAGGACAATGTTATAGCAATCAATCAAAAAGAAAACACAGTCTCCTCCCCCATTTGATTTAAGCAGCCTGCATTTTCCACATTAGTAAATTTTCTAGGTATGTCTTCTATGAGTAAATTTTCTAGATTCATGTCTTCTGTCCAATTTGAGGTTTATTTCCTCAAATATTCTTCATGCTCCTTTCTCTCTCTTCTGTCATTCTGAGAATACTACTTAGACCTCTACGTTTAATAATGTCCTACAGCTCTCTTAAGCTCTGTTTATTTTTGTTCATTCTTTTTTCCTTCTGATTCTTAGCTTGAATAATTTCAATTGACCTACGTTTAAGTTTGCAGATTCTTTCTACTGTCGAATCCCTTAGCAAATCGTTTGTAAGAAAATTTCCTCTGCATAGCCACTTCACCCTGAGAGAGTTTTGAGTTATGTAAAGTGCAGGAAAGTTCTTTGAATTAGCCCTTCAGGGAGCCACCTGACAGGTCAAAGTGTCAAGCACTATTCTCTGATAACAAGGTCCACTCTGCTCCTTCCAGCACCAGGAACCCACACTGGGCATGCAGGCTGCCATTAAAGACTGTCTTCAAGCCAGTGAAGGGAAGGGGAGCAAAGGTAAGTCAAAATATCACAAAACTCTCCTACCAGGTGACATTTACCCTTTTAAGTGTTTGCTTGGTTACTGTAAACCTTTCTGTGGTATTTGGCTGGACTAGACTGGTTATGGTCTTACAGTTTTCTGTCTTCCTAGTCTGACCTTTTCCTGGTGTTTTGTTGTTGTTTGTTTTGTTTTTCCAATATAAAAACAAGGGATTGGGTTTTATGAAGCAAAGGAAACTCATGGAACTCACAGCTCTAGTAATGCTTAGGTCCTAAATTCCTGAGCCAGTCTGACTTTTTCTCTACACCTTTTAGACACTTCTTATCCTTTGATTTTATATACAGATGGTCCCCTAATGAACAATGATTCAACTTAATAATTTTTCAATGGTGGGTAAGTGATACACATTGAGTAGAAACCACACTTTGAGTACCCATAAAACCATTCTGTTTTTCTCTTTCAGTACAGTATTCAACAAACTACATGAGCTATTCAACACTGTATCATAAAATATTCTTTGTGTTAGATGATTTTGTCCAACCAGCTAATGTAAATGTTCTGAGCACGTTTGGGGTAGGATAGGCTAAGTTATGATGTTCTGTATATTAGGTATATTAAATGCATTTTGACTTACAATATTTTCAACAATAAGTATATCAGGAAGTAATTCCATTGTAAGTTGAGGAGCATCTGTAATGTCCAGGCTTGTTCACTGTACTTAACAGGAGGAATAGAAAAAAGTACCAGTACACCTATTTCAACTTTCATGATGCTTCTTTCTTTCTCCTGACAGCAACATTCGCCCAGCCTGGTTGGTACACCCACCTAGTATCAACCTGGCCATAATGGTATTAAAATTGAATTCTGGTTCAGCTACCTGGATTCTTATGCTGAATAAACTTGGTCTTTGATCATGAGGATAACTATCATTTATTTGAGTATACTGCTTTACAAGTTCCTGTACAATGACTCAGGAGGGGCAAGGTGATGAATATAATGGGTGTTTGTAAATGTCATGAAAATACCATTGTCATTCTTGCTATTTATTCTTCTAGACAAAAGGTTTGGGTGTGACTAGGGAAATGACTAGGAAAAAAAGGTGAAGTTATAGCTACTATAATGAAATAAATCTATTTTTTTGTTTTGTTTTACTTGTTAACTTTTATTTAAATGAAATCATACACAATGTACAGTTTTATGTCAATCTAGTTGAATTCTGTTTGCAAGTTTCATACATATTTTATGTGTCTGTAAATAATTTTATATATGCATAATATCACTTTTGAAAAGATATATAACCTATTTTATTTATTGTCTTTATTATCAATGCAGATTTAGGTTATTTCCAGTTTGGATAAATATGCAAGTCCTGAAACTCTAAAACTACTACAAGAAAACATAAAGTGAAATCTCCATAAAATTGGTCTTTGTAATGATTTTTTGGATTTAACATCCTCGGCAACAAAAATAAAAATAGACAAATGGGATTACTTCAAACCAAAAAGCTTCTGCACAGCACCAATTTAAATCAACAGAATGATGAACCAAACTATGAATGGGAGCAAATACTCACAAAGCACACATCTAACAAGTGTCAATATCCAAAATGTATAACAAACTCAAATAATGTGCAAAAACCTAAATATACATTTCTTTAAAACACATATACAATGGCCAACAGATATGTAAAAAAATACTCAACAATAATCACCCAATAGGGAAAGTCAATTAATTCAAAACCACCATGAGACATCAATTCACCCTTGTCAGAATGACCATCATTTTTTTATTTGTTTTAATTTCAAAATATTAAGGGGGTGCAAATGTTTTTGGTTATATGGATCACTTTTGTAATGCTTAAAAGATAGGCTATTAGTGTGCCCATCACCCAAATAGTGGTCATCATACCAGTTAGGTAGGTTTCTACCACTCCCTTCCTCTCCTCTTCCCCCTTTTTGATTTCTAATTACTTTTACTTCTCTCTGTGCACATGTGTGCGCATCAATTAGTTCCAAATTATTAGAGAGTACATGTGGTGTTTCTTTTTCCATTCCTGAGATATTTTACTTAGGATAATGATCTCAAGTTCATCCAAATTTCTGCAAAAGACACTAATTCAATCCTTTTTATGGCTGAGTAGTACTCCACAGTATACATATAGCACATTTTGTTAATCCATTCATGAATTGATGGACACTTCAGTTGATTCCACATCTTTGTGATTGTGAATTATGCTGCAACAAGCATTCAAGTGCAGGTATCTTTTTTATAAAATGACTTCTTTTCCTTTGGGTAGATACCCAGTAATGGGATTGCTGGTCGAATGGTAAGTCTATATTTATTTCTTTGAGGAATCTCCATATTGTTGTCCATGAGGTTGTACTAATTTGCAGTCCCATCAACAGTGTATATGCGTTCCTTTCTCTCTGTATCCATGCTACTGTTTTTTTGTTTGTTTGTTTGTTTTGTTTTGTTTACTTTTTAATAATAGCTATTCTGACATGGGTAAGATGACACCCCATTGTGGTCTTAATTTGCATTTCCCTGATAATTAGTGACATTGAACATTTTTTTCATATTTTGCTGGCCATTTTTGTCTATCGTCCTTTGAAAAACTTTTGTTCATGTCTTTTGCCCACTTTTTTTTTTTTGAGACATAGTCTCACTCTGTTGCCCGGGCTAGAGTGCCATGGTGTCTGCCTATCTCACAGCAACCTCAAATTCCTGGACTCAAGCGATCCTTCTGCCTTAGCTGCCCAAGTAGCTGGGACTACAGGCATGTGCCAGCTAATGCCCAGCTAATTTTT